CCATCATCATCCTCCCAGCCACATGACACCTCCCAGCACAGAGAAAAGAGGAAAATGTTGAATTTTCCCAAACTGAGCAAACATTGTGCACAAAACCAGCTCCCAGCGGCTCCAGCTGGAAAACTGGGACAGGGCTTCACCAAATCTGCACAGCCTGAACAACAAAAGACCTCTTAAAAGACAGCCAGGCTGCAAAACAAGCACTGGTTTGAAATAAAACTGAACAAAAAAAGGTCTTGCAGTTCAATAGTGCCACACTGGGTGTGTGACAAGTCCTTGGCATTTTTTGTCCCCTTCCTTCCACGTGCTGGTGGCTTTCTGGTAGCTCCTCCTGGCATGCGTGGCTCTCTCCTGGTCAGTCACATTTAACTCTCAGGAGGACAGTGCAGCAGCATCCTGACAAACCGGTTGGTATCTTTGTTTATTTGGATTATCTCTTTTAATTCAGTGTTTTCTTGTGGTTATCAATCAATCTCTTCTACTGTTTGCAGCCTGCACCACAACTGGAGGGTTGGTGGCACCTGGAGGAGATCCACGTTGGGTGCCTGGGTTTTGTTCCTGGTTGTTTCTAAAGAAACCCTCAGTCCATCCAGGGCAATGGTTTGGAGATGCCACCTCAAGCACAGTCAGTTCATACCTGCAAAAATTCATTTTGTGGGCTGTGAAATCCCCACAAAGTCCTGAATCCCACAAGTGCTGGGATTGGGTTTCAATAATTTTTTTTTTGTAGGAATAAATTCTCCTGCCTGGGAGAAAAAGGAGCCTGGTGGGCAGAATGGAGCAAATCCCAGTGTGCAAGACTGGGATTCACAATCTGTGTTCACAACAGGGCAGCAAATCCATTTTCCCTTCACCTGAGCTGAGTTTTTCCAACCAGGGCAGCCCCCAGTTGTCACCAGCAGGGCCAGGATTGCTTCAAACCACAGGAAAAATGAATGGAGTGTGCAGAAGAAAACACCCCCAGCAGTCAGAAATTTGTCAGACAGGACAGGAAAATAAAGCCCTGAACCCTCACAGAAATTCACCTTCTCTCCTCTTCAAAAGCTGGAGAAATACACCCAATATTGGCTTAAACTTGAGACATATCCCCAAATTTCCACCCTCTTGCAGCCAGGGCTGAAATCCCCTTGTCTATTTTTCCCTGCCCTCTTTAGATTTAATTTTTTTGTTGACACCCTCACCCCATCCAGCAGGAGAAC